GAATCAAGAGTCATCTCAAAAAGTATCTTGACTTTTGCAAATATATCTAAGAGGAAGAAGTGTATGCTTTATTAATTATTAATACAGATAACCTTTATTAACTTATAACAAAACCCATCTGATATGCAATAGAAGATGTTCTGAATACATATCGAGCAATATTAGACGAGGAGTCAAAAGTAGGTTGAGTGTCCTTTCGCCACCACTGTGGAAGACAGTTGTAGCACAGACAAAAAACTGTGGTTAGGATATTAGCTCTATTAGATGAGGAATAAGATGGCAACAAGTCATTGCAGTATAAATGAAAAGAGAAAAGAAACAAACTAGACTGCTACCAGATTAATTCCTGTCTTTAAAACATCCTGTAATAAAGAGACRCAGAGACCTGCAGTGGAGAATCCTACAAGGAATCGTAGCAGTGAACTCTGTTATCTCGGTCATCAACTCTGCTGTAGAAGACAAATGTCCGTTCTGCAGCCAGAGAGAAACTGTGTTTCACAGTTTTTTAGAGTGTTCTCATCTCTCCACTCTGTTTAGTTCACTGGACACCATTTTTAACAGATGCGAGGAGTTTTTCAAGAAGACAGTTTTTATCTGTGGTTTTAATTAAACTCGCCAGAGAAAACACAAGTGCCAGCTCTTAAACTTTGTTTTAGCTCAGGCAAAGATGGCGGTGTATGTGAGCCGTAAAAGAGAAATAGAAGAAGAAGTGAATGTTGATGTGGTTTACTTGTTTGCAAAAATGGTAAAAGCCAGACTTCTAATTGATTTTAGTTTTTTCAGAGCCACCCATGCCCTGGAGAGTTTCAGGCTGATGTGTGGACACAGAGAGGTTCTCTGCTCCGTCATAGACCAACAGCTGGTCTACGGAGATATAATACATTTATAATTTCTCTGAGAAAAAAAACTGTATAAATGTAATTTATTACATTTTTTTATACAGTGTAAATAGTGACAAATAAAGGATGGTTTTAAAAATAAAAAATAAATCTCTCTCTCAGCTGACGTCTCTGACTCGCTATTGTTTACACACTGTGATCCGATGTGTGTATAAACTCAGTTTGAGTAAAACAATCATATCTTCATCCCAATATTACACAACGTTATCACATATCACACATTTTCCTAATATCGTGCAGCCCTAATCGTCTGTAGTTTGGGACACTTGTGTTATAGAATAGAACTGAATGCTTTTATTATCATCACACAGCTGAAATTAGGGGCAACTCCTCAGTGGCAGGCCCTACATGAAATACTAATAAAACCATCAGCAACAATCATCAACGCAACTCTACACACAAAGTTTAAAATATATATATATTATAAAAATATGCGTTAGCAGGAGACACATGTCTTCTCCGTTTACACACTGAAACAGCTGAGAGCTGTAGTGAGGAGAGCAAGAGAAGAGGGGGAGATCCTGGAGCTGCAGCAGTGAGGAGGAGGAGAGACTGAACCACTGGGAGCAGAATGAAGCTACAGGTTTGTGTTTTTCTTATATTACAACGGTCTGCTTGATACCAACAAGAACAACACAACACAAAGTGTTTTCATACCACATATCTGTGTTCACATACTGAGTAATGTTACTGTAACATTAGCGGTGCAGTGCACGTCAGTCACTGACT